TTATCCTGAGTTCGGGGAGTGTTGGTTATTGACTAAGGGGGACATGAAGGAGATGTATGGAGCTCTAGAAATATTCTAGGTCTTGATCTGGGTGGTGGTTATATAGGTATACAAACTTACCTAGTTGTGCACTCAGGATTAGTGCACTTTACACACTTTAACGTGTGTATCTTGTACCTCGATAAGGTAAAAAATATATATAATGCTCGTTTTAGTTGATTTGGCCAAAGTAACTCATCTGCCTTACTACTGCACATAAAAATCCAAGTGCTCTACAAATATAAAGCATTTATATTCATTACCTGTATTGCCAGTGTGAAGTAAAAGATTGGACAGTTATTTAAAGAAGGCAATGAGAATGTAAAACTACCACCTCTCCTTTTTTAGCAATAGGATTTTTTAAATCATAACTTAAACTCCACACTTCATTTTGCTTTTATAGTCAGTATCTGAATGAGCAGAAACATTTCCTAGAGAAAACGTATTAAAACAAAGTATTAACTAATATAATTGCAGATATAATTTCTAAAGGTATAGTGAAGCTATGATTTTTGTAACAAAAGTCTTGAAAATGTACTTTTAATTCTTTAATAAATGTTACCAGGAAGGCCACAGGCAGACCTGAAGGAATGTGATTAATTTTTCTAGTGTCTCCTGTTTCTAGAAACCTATATAATTTCTACCACTGCACACTCAGGGCATTTTTTCATGTCTAAATGCAATTTATCTATAAACTATTTTTGTGTATAGCCACTTATTAATAGAGAAGAAAAGATTTATTTTATTGGCAAAAGGAAATAAGTAGCCAAATGGGTATATTTATGTATTTAATAGCCATTGTTTACACATTTGCTAACAGGATCATTAATTATTTTTGCAAATGAGACTCATGAAGTGGGTAACAAATTGTAGATGAGACAAGATGCTTATCTCAGCATAATGAAGCTTGAAACCAACATTTATTAGCAGGATTATCCATGTCTTTATATTTATACATCTTTGTCTTCCTCAGCATGTTCAGCAAAGTGCCTAGCACATAACAGGCTCTCACAATGTTTGTCAAATAAATAAACAATAATGATAACATATCTCTCCTTTTAAATCATCTTATGTAAAAAATCATGTTCCTGTTATTTAATAGCTCTCAAATAAGTTTTACTGTAATGGAATGGGAAAAGAAGAATATTATAACTAATATTTTCATGGATCCAAAATAACCATGTACTACTACCATTTTTTCTAAAGCAAAAAACGCCTCAGGGGGTATGAAAGAATACTTTTGTCAATGGAAAATAATTGTTAACCACTTGATGCCTGAGCATCAAAAATTGCAAGAAACAAATGTTTACTAAGTACAGTATTTGCAAGACATTCTGCCAGATGCCGGGATCCTAAAACACATAGATCATTACCTCAGTTTACTTGGAAGCTGGGGCCCTTGAAACTAAGTCATCTTAACCAACTTTTGGTGTGGATCTCTAAGGGCAACATCGGGCAAAATAGGTCTGGCTCTTTGACTTAACAATTAAATGACAATGACATTCCCCAAGGAGTTCTATAATAGTGTTAGTAGAAGAAGTTATGACTTTTGTATTTAGTTTGCTTTTATTTGGTTATTTCCCAAATTACTACAAGCAAACAGGGCTATTCATTGTATTTTGCTATTTAATTTCTTCCTATTCCTTTGATTCATCAGAAGCCAGACTAATGTGCAGTACCTGCTAGGTGAAATTTGGAAGCACTGGTTTTGCTATAGCAGAGAGACCCACCCTATTCATTGAGACCACACTGAATGATCTTTCATAAGGCATAATTTCCAAATACCTTAATTTTAATCATCTAATAATCAAGGGTGGCAGCATTGTTAACCTTGCATGATGATTGTTCTAATGGAACAAGATTATAATCTATGTCAAGTGCCTTGCACTTTACCTGAAATATAAAAAGTTGCTCAATAAATATTAACTATCATCATTATTATCTTCTTCATTATCATTTATATTAAGTAGCAGCTAAGAGTCTATACTTTGGAGTTAGACCTGAGATCTTGTCCTGGATCTCTCTCTCAAGAGGCATACAACCTTGAAAAATTCTTCATATCTCTTATATTCAATTTTCTCACTTTAAAATTAAGAATAAAAATAGCCCTAATATATTCAATTGCTGAGATAATCAGTTGAGATGATGCCTACCAACCAAGCCTTTAGTGTGGTGCCTGATACACAGTACATGCCCAATCTATGAAAGTAATAATGACAATGAGAGCAGATTATTCATCTCTATTATATGGTTCATCTATGAATTCACAAGGCGAGACCTGGAGTAGATTCCCCCACCCCAATACAGTGTTGGTTGAATTAAACTAAATTGAGAAACAGACATGGAGGAGAGATACAATGTGAGATAGCCTTATGTGGCATGGGAGCAGCACCTTTTAGATTAAGGAACGAGAGAAAAGGAGAGTGATAGTCTGATTTGATTAAAATAACTTATACGGGATTATTTACTACTCCAAGAAAGCCTTGGAAAGTCCTTTACCAAGAACTTCAGCAAATCACGTAGGCTTGGAAAACATTAGTGATAGAAGAATTTATTTCCAATAACACATTGGAAAAACACACCTAAGAATCAAGACATCTGTAAGGCTAGTTCAGATTCAAGATTAACTTGGCTTAAGTTACCTGGATATTTGACCCAGTATCTCATTTAAAATCAATGTATTCTTAATGACAACCCTGTGAACTGTCTGAGCATAAAGGTACTTAGCTGCAAAAATGAAGACACTGATGACTCTGCCAAAAGATAGCAGAAAAAAAAAGAAAATAGCAAAGAACAACGGCCTAAATTTGTGCCTTGGTTGTTTTCCTTCCAGTCCCGAGATTTTCATTATCCTAGCAAAAGGCTGTTTACATACCTTAATATAGTTGCCTTTTCACTTACATTCTTAGCTTGCAAATATTTTCAAACAACAAATGCATCTGGGTCTTTGTCTTGATGGCAAATGCCTCCTTTTATGGCCATTGTCACTTCCTGCCCCTTATTCCTCCAAATCTTCTTTTTTCTTACAGTCCACTTACATTTTTGACAGTGAATAGCCTTGTGGACAACTTCAAGTGATGATGCATATTTATAAATACCCAGCCTTCTACTTAAATATGCTTTAATAAACTATACGATACTGAGAAATGGGGGAAGGGCTTTGCTGTTGGAAGGCTGAATTCTTACCCTTGTCAATATCTTACCCTGAATTAGAGGGTTTTTTTCCCCTTACTGCTGTCACTCATAGTTTCTCACATCACAAAGGCAAACCTGGGAAAACACACACACACTAAGATTTCTCACTATCCTGTGGTAGCTGATCTTATTGAGCAAATGAAATCACTTGGAAAATGAGTGGAGAGGGGCACCAGTCATAATGTAACTCCTGAATTCATTGTTCTTCCTAGGCATTTTGTTGTTGGAGAAAAGTAAGTTACTCAAATTAAATAAGTAAAACAATTTTTTTTCTCTTTATTACTTGACTGCTGAATGTTTTACAGCTTTGTAATTTGGAAAGAGTGGTTCAACTCCTTTTGTGCCTTACTTTATCATGCTATATAATTACATCTGCTAAAGCCCAGCATTAAATTCTGCTTTTTGTGCATGCATACCGTTCATCATCATAAATGACATTTCTTTTGGATGGTGCTGGTTGCTTAGCACTTTTATTTTGTATTTCTTTCCATCAATATCAATCCCAGCAATCAGTTTTACAAGGCATCTTTTTATTGAAATTTGCCTTACTTCCATAAAGAAAAGTTCATTGCAAATGGTACATTATAAAGTCTGTACATGGGGTTTCAAACCAACTGTTCATTTCTTTTTCGTTCTCTTTTCCTTTCTCCTTTTTTCCTTCCCTCCCCTCCTTTCTTGTCTGATAAGTGTTGATGTGTTTCATATACATTGAATTTGAATGAGTGGCCCACATTTTGAAACTGGGACATCTCAGCTGGAGTAGAGGCAGCTCTTTAGAGGGGCAGATGGAGCATGCATCCTCATTTCTCCATAGTTTTCATCTTTTCCTCCAGGTTCCCTAACATCTTGCTTGATTAATTCACACTCCCTGTCAGAACCAAGAGGACATGTAGGGTTGTGATCCCCACTCTATGATGAAGTGAGAGTTGCCATTCCTTTATATTTTTTTTCAAGTTAAAAAACATACATGTATGTTAGATATCCTCAACTGGTTAAACCTATGCCAGGGTCCATTACTTCCTTAACACCCTGTAGTGTCAACCTTGTGTTGAAACCATTGTATTCCCACACTGTGTCTGACTGAGTGAATTACCCAGCACGTTTGGAAGACAATATATTGTTTCAGAGACACAATTCTATGGTGTTTCGGTCTGTGTGGCATAGATATGCAACTCCTAGGGACTTAAAGCATCATTTCAAAACTAAAAATAGATAAGCGGGAAAATATTCATTGAAATATTATCTATAACAGCTAGGATTTAAAACAACCGGCAAGGTTCTTAAATGTTAATTAGAAAGACTGTGTTGAAACTTGTAAAACATGTTAAGTGAAAAGAACAAATGGAAAAACAGCACACACATTATTACAACTAAGCCTCTAGAGATATATGAAAATATGGAGTGGCCGTGTTAAACATCAGACGAACATCAATTTGTCTTTTTCAAACAGATTGCCCTTACTTTTATTGATTAGCTTGTTTAGTAATACATGCTGGGTGAATGCATTTCATCAAGCAGGAAACACGCCTCCCACAGGAATTTCCATCCTAGAAAGTTTGGCCTAAGGACCATTTAGGATTTTGCTGAGAAATGCAGACCTCAGGCACTTTCATTCACTCAGAACTAGAGACCTCTTTTCTAGTGCCTATTCTCTATTCTCTCCCCAGACATATAAAGTCCTGTGTGCAAATGAAATCTTGCAATGATTATCAATTTCACAGATTCTTCTCCCTGAAATTGTTTTATCTTGTCACTCTTTTGAACAGGGAGATGCCATTGCCTTTCATCAAGAAAACATGTCAGGAGATCTAAATGTAACAAATACTCCCCCAAAGAATTGGAACTTCAGCAATGGGAAGAAGCAGAAGCTCTGTCAATCTTAACAAATTAACAGGCAGATTGGTGAGTGTGAGCTTTCTCATCCAGTAAGCCTTGGTGCCCCTGAGGATATTGTGTGGATTGGCATTTTTGAATTGTGAATGATAAAATCTTTTTTCCCTTAAGATTGCAATACAAGAAAAGGAAAAAACTTTAGAAAAGTCAGATCTCAGATGGAAGAGGGTGGAATCTTTGTTTATAAATAAAAACAGCAGCTGTCTTTTTTTTTTTGGTAGATCTATGTTATTTGATAAATCAGGGATTGAAATTATTATCAGAAGGGGAGTATTTGGCCTACACAGAGAAGAACTTGGAGTTGAAATCATGCTAATGAAGCAACACAATGTAATCGGTGAGTAGGTATTATGTCTTAGATGTCTAAGAAAATTTGTCCACAAAAACATATAAACAAAAGAGTTGTTTTTCTTGGTTCCCTAGTAGAAACCTAAATCTATTTTTTAAATCTACCCAAAAATCTACTCCCCCTGATTCTCGTGACGATGTTCTCATTTTCTTTTGGGAAACTGTCTGTCATCCATTATCTATTTTGGTATTTCAGGTGGTTGCTGCGTGGTAGAAGCTTGGCTCATCAGAAAGTTCCAGCCTCCAACCACAGTTGAAACGGCCCACATCCATTGGAGCAAAGAAAAGGTCAGTAATTTGTTAGAATTTTGAGAAAAGAGGGTTTCTTTGCACTAGGATTGTGGAATTTAGTAGGAATACCATGGTTTAAGAAAAGTGTACTTGAGATAGAAAAACTCCATAGAAGAAAGAGAAGTCCAGAGATGGGAAAAGAGCCCCAGGTCCCAGTCGGGCCTAAAACCAACCAACTGTGCACATTTGTTTCATTTTGGCTTAATTCAGTTGGAGTTTTTATTTTAAAATCACCTGATTAATATAGGATTTTATACATTGTCAAACTGAAAGGAAGCTCAGGAACTGACTTTTTGCATCCATTTTTCTGCTCTGAAATTTTCAATTATACTCAACAAAGAGGGAAATACAATTTTCAAAGTAGAAATCTTAACTGATAATACACATTTTTTTTTTTATGGTATGGTTTTACTTATCAAGTATGGAGTTACGTGAAGACCAGTTGTGAGTAATTTTCAAGACCCTTTACCTGTATCCCAAAGTTCCTTAATGTAGTCTCAAAAAGATGTCATATAAGACTTTCTTTTAAAACCAGTCTATGTGTCTATTTTACATCTACTTATTACTGAGGATGGTTTTAATTTTCTGAGACTAAATTACACTGATGGGGTAAAATTATTATTCATATAAATATTAGGAAGCAAGTGGGAAACAGCCTACCTTTTAAAACTCAAATCTCCACATATAACCCTTATTTTGGTAGTGAAAATGACAGTAGTCAGTGTGAAAAGGAACAGGAGAATAAAAAATGAAGGCCTGCAAATTGTATTTGCCAGTTTATAAATGTAGTACATTTCTGGGGGGAAAAAGAGAAAAGTTTTATGATTTATTTTTCTCTAGGTATCTAGAAGTCATAAGAGATGGGCTAAGTCTACTGAGATAAAACAAAGTAGAGGCCTGAGAGAGTTATTTAATTAGTCCAAAAGACAGTTATTATAGAGAAAGGACATTCATTTTTAGAGGGAATTATACTAGCCATGCAAATTGATTGAATTATCTGGACAATGTAATTAAGCTTGCCAGAAAAGCTCATGACTCATAAATTTTCCAACACAGAACCTGGTGTAGCATAGGCTTAAAAATTGGTGACTATAGTCAGTGTCATTGTTGTACTGTTGACATATCGATCAGGTGAGAAAAGAAAAGCTAAGAGCTATTATCTCTTTAGGTAACTCTCCCCATGTCTATATCTATGTCTAATCTATATTAAAATAAATTAAATACACAGTGAGATATATATATGTATGTGTGTGTATATATATGTGTATATATATGTATGTATATGTATGTATGTATATATATATTTAGCTTTCCAGGTAAATGTTAGTGGTCACAATTCATAGGTTAGTGCAGATGGCAGTGAGAATTGGAGCACTGGGGCAGTTGGTAGTAGAGGGTACAGAGTTTAAGTAGAGATGAAAAGTTTGGACCAGCTACCATGAAATGATGGCTTCTTGGGAATGTATGTATCAGCTTTATCTCTTTGTGATTTACACAAACTCTCTGCCCAGAGATCTTTTTCCTGCATGCATGGTCCATTACTCAGGGCTGACCAATCTCTAAGGAAAATGATCATTTATCATTCTTACATTTTTTTTTTTATCCTTCAAACTCCAGTAAATCAATGGCATATTCCTTCATCCCCTTTAAAGGCCCATTGTGCACTCTCTCCCTGAGGCTTTTATAGTGGATCCATTGTCAAAGGACATTTTTCTCATCTGCAAAACAGCCAATCTCCACTTAAGGGGTTAGCAGTAAGGACTACAAGTGTTTTCCATTCTTGAGGATATTATAATTCAGCTTCAAGGATACCATATTTTCTGTTGTTCTTTTTTCCTCCTACCTCACTGATTGTTTTCTCTTTGTCTCATTTTCTGGTTCTGTGCTCAGCTTTTAACACTGGAGTGCTCTGGGGTTCAATCTTTTAACTTATTGTTCTTTTTCAAAATGAGCTGATTTTGTCCCATGGATATAAAGTCACCTATGGGTAGACTTACAAATTATATCTCTGGTCTTGACTGTTCTCCAGCTCAGGACTCAACCACTCATGTGACATTACCACTTGCCTGTCTAACATGTATCTGAACAAATATAGTATAGAACTATTGATTCCCCTGCCCCAGCTCCTTCATCTGTGTCCTCCCTAGACTTCCCCATTTTGAAAATGGCACCAACAGTATTTGGGCCAAACAACCAAGGATTTTGGAGTATTTTAGTGCACCTTTTTGCACCTTTGTCATCCACCATGAAGTTCAATTGATTCAATTTCCAAAATACATTTCCAATTCCAGAGCTTCCTTTCATGTATACTACTGTCACCCTAACTGGAGTCATTATTGGCTGATGAATTTAACATCTAATTGGTTTTTCCTTTCTGCTTCTTGCCCTTGATACAATGCTCTCAGCAGCCAACAACTTCTTAAAATGAGTATAAAATTTATTTTCATACTACTTAAAACCCTCCACTGACTTTCTATCACTACCAACTCCTTTATACTTCCACCAAATCACATGTAACCTGGCTCAGCCTTCCCTCCAAACTCCTATATTTCCTTCTTTGTCTCCATTAGCCTCATATTTTTTCTCTGCCTCAGTCTTAATACCTTTACTCCTATGTGAGCCTTTGAAACTTTAATTTTCACTCCTGGAACGATTACACAATTCTTCCCATTGCTGAGTTCTAACAGTTCAGGTTCCAACCAACTGGGGAGCTTTCGCTGTGCCTCCATCTAAAATAGGGATATTTAGTAATGTCCTATCACATTACCCTATTTTACTTTATTCATTTTATTTAACATCAGTTGAACCGCAATAAATTACTAATTTTTTTAAGAAATAATTGGGCCTGATCCGGTGGCTCACGCCTGTAATCCCACCACTTTGGGAGGCTGAGGCAGGCGGATTACGAGATCAGGAGATCAAGACCATCCTAGCTAACACGGTGAAACCCCGTCTCTACTAAAAATACAAAAAATTAGCCAGGCGTGGTTGCAGGCGCCTGTAGTCCCAGCCACTTGGGAAACAAGCAGGAGAATCATTTGAACTTGGGAGGTGAGGTTGCAGGGACCGGTTTGCACCACTGCACTCCAAGCTGGGAGACAGAGGAAAACTCCATCAAAAAAAAAAAAAAAAAAAAAATTATTGATTTGTTATGATTTAGCCTAGTATATCTAAAATGTTTTTATTCGTTAAGAGCAGAGACCTGGTTTGTCATTTATGATATGTTCTCCAATGCCAAGAACAATGCCTAACACAGAAGAAGCTTAAAAAGCATACTCCCCAAGTTGAATGAATGAACGAATGAATGGAGACTATGAGTTAATTGTAGGGGCATTTGGCATAGCTAGAGAAGTTAGGAGAGCTTCCCTGTGAAAGGGAAAATTGAATAATGACTTGACTTTGTAGGCATAATGTGGTTTTCTTTCTAAGAGTAAGTGGTGGGGAGCAGAAAGTTGAGGATGGAGTTAGTATTTCTGGAAAGAGCAATGGTCTATGCAAAGACCCAGAAGCAAACGGAATCTTGTTGCACTGGAGGAACAAACAGAATGCTCACAATGCAGGAGCTAACAGGGCAAGAGGATCGGTGGTGATTTGTTTCCAAATTATTTCTCAGGGAAATACTTTTTCTTAAACAATTTTTTTTTTTTCTCTGTCACCCAGGCTGGAGTGCAGTGGCATGATCCCAGCTCAGCCTCCTGAATAGCTGAGACCACAGGCATGCGGAACCAAACCCAGCTAATCTCTATTTTTTTTTTTGTAGAGATGGAGTCTCACTATACTGCCTACCCTGGTCTCAAACTCCTGGGTTCAAGCAATCCTCCTACCTTAGCCTCCCAGAGTGTTGGGATTATAGGTGTGAGATATTGTGTGGAGCCTTAAACGAAACTATGTGGAAATCTAATGCATTTTCAAGACCCACCCATACCCGCTGGACATTTGGTTCCTTCAGGGTCCTAAGAAATAAGTATAGGCTACCGATTAAAAATGCCCAGTGTGAGAATGCATAATTTTCTACTAGGGAAGACTAACTTTCTGGGATTTGTTTATCGGGCTGTACTCTGGAAGGGAGGGGCCTGCCTCATGTACAGTGCCAAGCCCAGCGCTGGTGCATCAGGAATTTGTTATACAATGCTCTCACGGTGTGCTGGGATGGCAGCTCTCACCTGGGTGTTGAACACATGGGCTTTTATGCCAAGGTTTCTATGTAAGACCAGGACTCACCTGCCAGAATATTAAAACACATTGAAACCCATTGGTCTGGTCTATCTCTGTGGCTCATGCATATCTTATCTCTTGGAGTTCCAGCTTTCTAAAAAAGAGAAAAAAAATGAGTGTCAGAGGATGATGAACTTGAAATTGAATCCTAACTCTACTATTACCACTGTGACCATGAATAAATAATCTCATTTGTCTGAGTTGTGAGAATTAAATGGAATTATATACACACAATCTTGGTGCATTGCTTAGTACATAGTGATATGATAATTAGTTATTGCTGTTGTTGTTCTTAATATTAACTCTTCACAATAATGTCTCCTAAACTAGTCAAGCCTTAATTCCGAGGTCACTCTACAACAGTGGTTCTCAAGTAGGGGTAATCTTGCTCCCGCAAGAGACATTTGGCAAGGCCTGGAGAGATTTTTGTTGAGACTTGAATCGGGGGGTGTGCTGCTGGCATTTAGTAGATAGAGATCAGAAATGCTGCTAGCATATACCGTGCACACCTCCAAACCCCAACACAGAAGTATCTTGCCCCAAATGTCAATAGCGCTGAAGTTGAGAAACCTTACCCTACAAAATCAGTCTCTGTAACTTTCCCATGGGAGCATACGGGTTGAATATTTGTCTTTCTTTCCTACTTTTGCTTACCTCTCCTGGCTCCCACTAACTCCAGCAGTTGCACTTTGCCTGGAACACAGTAGGCAGTCAATAATATTCTGATTAATCGAATGCAGCAACAGAAATGATTTGTCTCCTCCTGCCCCACCCCAGTTAAC